CCAGCAACATTTTTTTGGACATTCATTAGAGTCCGTAAATAAACAGTGTTTAAAGCCAGACTGCCAACACAGCAGTAATCAGCATTGATTACACCTTTGTTTACAAAGCAAACATCAAAACCAGGAGACTTCCAGTATCCTGCTGTGTATCTGATATCTCTAATCTCTCTCTCTCTTTTTTAAATCTTCATTCTTGTAGCAATTACAAATGCAGCTAGTATCCACATACCCATTAAAGCTGTGAATTTAAAACTATTCCTGATTTAAAGTAGATGTAATACCATACTTGTAAAATCAAGTTTTGTTAATCTAAAATTCACAGAAATGTTCAGATTCTCAGATGATTTATTAAGATCTGCAGATATATTAAGGCAATTTCTGGCCTTATATTTAAATCTTTTTGCATTTAATAATAATATCTGACTATGCAAAAATGTAAACATTCTCAGAAGTGATAAGTGTTTGTTTTGACCTATTATTTCACAGTGTCTGCCATATAGCAATAGCATGAATGCCATACTTGTGTGTACTCCTGAAAATAGGTGTACTTAGATTTTAAAGTTGGATTCATTTGCATCTCACTTTCTTCTTAGAAGTCAAACTTGAAAGATCTTAGTTAACGTTTTTTATATAAACTCAATTCCAGAATTCAATCCAGTAGTAGAAAGCTTGTTTTTCACAGATAACATGTTTGAGTAAAACTGGAAGTGGATGCATTGGTACAGGAGCAGATCATAAGCAACTTCAGCTGCTCTTGAGCTGAACAACAAAACTGAGGCTCACTTTCCTCAGAAAGACTTACCTGGGTGACAGGTAATCTATTGAGATTTTCCATATAAGCTTTAGACCTGCATAATTTTAATCACACTGTACAAAGAACTCTGCATAAACCCAGCCTTCCCCAGTGGAATCGTTCTGTCTTGTCTTGGCATAGTTGGAGACAAGATCACCTTTGACATCTTTTTTCTGTGAGGCTCTGTTGAAACATAGACTACCTGATTTGTCGGTGACAACAGGCATTTACAGTTCAAGCTGGAAAATGAGTGTTAAACTCACCAGTTTTGGCATTTCACTAACATGCTGCTTTTGTACTTTTGTGGGTAGAGAGCAGCTTTGCTTCACTGACTTTCTAGATATAAGTAGCTTAAAAATATTCTTATCCAGCCAATGAAATAGGGCACGGGTGATGTTTCAATACCAGATCATAACAGTGAACAGTTACAGGGTCACCGTGTTGATATATTTTACTCATCTGGAAAGCCTTCCTGGAGCATATAATCCCAAGTCAAGTCTCAAATAGCCATGCTTTGAAAAGTTCCGTTAAGAAAAGCTACTTTTATGTGTTTCTCAGTACATGAACTATCAATAACACTTTCAAAATATGATGAAAAAGGAGAAAAATAGATAAGGAAAATACAAACTAGCAACAAGGGTCATTTCATGAACTACTTAAACCATAATACAGAAATAAAAAAACAGCATGGTATTGATTTTAAATGGTTTTTTGCCAAGGGAGCAAACCATAAATATACTCAATTAGACACATGCAGCATGATATGTACTCGAAACTTTACTAAAGGTAAAATATGCTTGTTTTAGGCATATGCAGCACAGATCTGTAAATGTTGGAATAAAATTTACTCCCTTTCCAAGGCTTCTCTTTAACTCCTCCCCTCTTCGGGAAAGATGACGGTCCTCCTTGTTATCCTTGGAACTGGGTGTGTAAGCAAAAAGACTACATCACTGGCTGGCTTCTAGATAAATATTAAAAAAACAGAATAAATCCCTCTTAGGTTCAAAGCTGCATCACTTACTCTCACCTAATTTTGTTAACTAGCCTTGTATTCTGGCTGTCAAATCTCAGGTAAAGCAAGTAACTGGGGTTTCTCCCACATATTTTAAAGCCTTTTAAATGCAGTTAACAAACATAATTAATGCAAATGTGTATGAGGTAGAAGGTCTGCATCCCTGATTCCTTGTATTTCCCTAGAAGCCTGCATGTACATTAGGAAGTGTTACAAGGGAGGGGAAAGAATCTGTTCCCATAATCTGTGTACTCGTCCAGTAGTTCTGTGTCTGTCTGTTGCCTTTTAAAATCATAGAGCTGATCATCATAAATAGTGAGCAGTCTTTCTGTATGTGTCAGCAAACAATCAGATCCAGTGACAAGTCTAGACTGAAGCTACCCCGATTCCTGCTCTATGAGATGAAAAGTTCACGTATTTTTCTCCCGCTTTGATAGAACTACAAGTGAGTTTGATACAAATTTTTCCAAGCAGGGCTGAAATCCTACATTTAGCCTTGCTTTCTGAAGGACAAAGACTCACCTTGCAGTGTTGTTTTGCTCAGTAAATGGCTCTCCTCCAACTAAAAAGGTCAAATGCATATCTCTGAATTCTCACAATGACCACACAAAAAAAGACGGAAAAATGATCATTCTAGCACTGAACTTTCCATAGTTTTCAAAATGAAGGATCCACTAGCTAAAACAGAAATGTAGTTCTGAGCCCAGCATTAGTAGAGCTACAATGACTGTCACAAGCCTTATGACAGTTAATGCTTAAATTAAAGGGCTAATTCTGGCAGAGGCAAGTCAGAAGGAGAAAGAGAACATCTGATTTCACTCCTGCTTTTTTCATGTGTATATAGCCTCAATACTGAAGGCAAAAATGCCTGAAAAAGTGACCAAGTATTATATAAAGTTACTTAGAACATCTCAAAAAGCATCCATGATTAGTTTTAATTTTTGAATTATGACAACTCCCAGTAAAAACAGAGGATTGAAGGGCAGCCATCACCTAGAAGACTCATTTTCAAACAGAAAATGAGTGTTACAAGCAAGATAAAGTTACCAAGCACTGGCAGCTCTGCAGCAAGCAAAACCTTACAGCATGTAGGAGAGGCATTTTGGTTTGTTCTTACCACAATATTACTTACGATACTGCTTATGCAATTCAGCTTGCTTACATACTTTCTTTGCTGTATGTTTATAGAAGCAATGCATAAAGTCAAAAGGGCACAAAACCAGTAAATTGAATATTGCTTTTCTGAAAATTGAAACATTCAAAATTGTATTAATTATTAAAATAAGCTTTATTGTGAGATGGAAAGTACACTTTAGGAAAATAGGTGATTTTATACCTGAGAAAATTCTTATAAATCAACATTTTTGGGAGATGACTAAACTTAGAAAGCTGTTCATTAAGGGTAATACCAACATTAGTAAGAAGTTTGTTTCCCCATCTGCTCACCACCTCCTCCTCCTGCTCTCTCTCATATTGCTGTGAGGTTATACTCCCTTGAGAACTTCTCCTGTTTCAAAGTAACAAGAATTTTAATAAAGTTACAGTCACTGGGCCAAAATATCTAAATGTCAGTCTGCAATCTCACTGACCCCTGGCAATTTATAATATACATATTCTGCTTATAGCATGCCACACAGTAAAAGGCTTACTTTATCTTGGCAAATTCTACAAGAGAAAGTAAACATTTCTTCCCTATAATTTTTCCACACCAACGCAGTTGTAAAAATGAAAGCTGCAAATCAAAGATGCAGGAAAAATTATATAGCTGTTTATCAATTGTTTTTACTGTACCTCTACAAGTACTGGAGCTAAAGAATGAAGTTACATTTGAGGATTTACATAAGAAATCTTCGAGTGGCACAGTTACAGCATTGTTATCAAATATCTTAATAAATTACTACTTATATAAAAAATAACACTTGTGGCTGCCCTTATCAACAATGAAATGTAGCATGTAGGTAAAAAAGTTCACCTGGTTTGGATTTACTGCTCTGAAGTTGTAAAATTCTATTTGACTGAAATACAAAAAAAAAACAAACTGGTGTGTGAATACACTTTTGAGAATTATTTCCCCAATTTGTTCATTCTGTTTAAAATCAAGTGTTTAAAAACTTTAAACAGGAAAAAATGGTCACTTCATTGAACTATGATCTTCCTTGTCTCATGCTAATAAAATAGTGGATTATTAGAAATATTTATATATTTGATTTTATAAGAAGGCAGAGAAAGTATCACAAGCATCTACTTAAGCAGATTGGTATGTTGGAATATCTCATTTTGTAAGCATTAGGGGGGTTTCATCTACTGTATGCTAGGTGCCTGATGATTCACTTACTCGAATCATGATGATTCCAGGTCAAATCTGTGCAGAAAATCACCACTTCACTGGAATTACCAAAACTTTCATTTCTGGAGTAAATGCTGGGCTGAGACAGATTTAAATCTGATCTACACCAGTGCAACAGTGAATGGTAAGATTTCAGTACAAAGAAGCATTATTGTACAAATATTGTTTTTAAAAAAACAGTATATAAGAAAAATGTAGTTGGAAATAATATATTTGATGTTTAAAAAACATGTCAACTCCTTCTACGCCACCTTGAAAAAAGGCATATAAAGTATAATTTGATTTGAGTGCTTTATGTAGGTGTATCTTGACATTTAATACCTATAACCATTAAAACTGTTTCCAACGCTTTGTAATACCTACATTTTTAGAAAGCAAAATTCTGCCTCAGATTCTAGACATTTTTTTTATCTCAACATCACTATGAGAAAGGAAAATGAGCACATAGCACCGGTATTAAAGAAACGAACAATATATTGAGTGTGACATAGAAGTGGTTTGATACAGACTGTGAAAGATGCAGTGTAAGAAATAAATTTAATGTTGTCTTAGCATGTGAGAATTAAGTCCAGTGCAATCAATATTGTACTTATTTTGTGAATAGCCAGTACATTAGTGATACACTAATACAGATGACACACAGCATTATCCAGTCTATTCTTATAATAGGTGGCCTGTTACCTTTCACGTGGAGAACGGCACTTGATGAGATAGTGCCATTCAAATTTTTAGCCCGAACAACATAAAGGCCAGCATCTTTATCACACACCTTCTGAATGAACAAAGTATGCTTTGTCTCCTTTTGCAAAAGCTTTAAGTGCTCATCTGCAGTCAGTTTCTGGCCCTTCTTGTACCTGAAGCAGAGAGTCAGTTTTCAAGTCAGATTTATATCATTGTATTCAAAGTAGAACTCAAATTCAAAAAAACTCTTTACCTTTACACTGACAGCAAAGGATAGAGCTCACTGCTGTGCTCTCATTCCTCAGTTTTGAAATCATATGTAAACATGGGTGAATATTTAAACAATTCAAATTGCTGGATAATACATTCTTATTACTAGAAAATGTGGTTCTGCAAATGGTTATGAACGGACAAGTCATATTTATCTCACTGCTGTATTGGAGAGAGTAGCATGAAGGCCTGGGCCCTCAACTTGGTGCTGAAATACTTTTGCTAGTAATGTGATGAATCATCCACATTAAGCTCATGAATAGGCTCTTAAGATGCATAAGCATGTACAACCTTTCTGAACATGTGCCTTCAGTATAAAGAACAGCCAATGACCTGTTCCTCCACCCCAGGCCACTTAACATTTACTTTGTTCACAGCATCAAACAGAATAGAACAACTCATTAGAAATTATTCCATAGAACTGGTGTCATATTCTAACAGTTGAGGATCTGTCACCATGTATTGGCATTGACTCCTGATTTACACAGTGGAAGTGAGAGAAAATTCTAGCTTTTCTTGCCTCATGACATTTCAGTATAAGCTACGTTTAACCTACACAAACACAGAAATACTTTTCTGCATGTGTATTCAATAAAATGCCTACATCAGTGCAAAATACATGTACTGTATTTTTAGTTAAATTAAAAACTTTTATTTAAAAAACACATTTTTTGTTTTTATAAATTTCTAATTTGTAAAATGCTTTCAGTTGAATGTCTTTTTAAAAGACCGTATATCAACACTGTATATATTTTTAGCTAAATTAATTATTTGTTATGATTAAATCTGAAGGAAGCTGCCCCTCTTTCAGTCTCTGTTCATTGGCAGAGAATTTCTAAAAAGTAATCTTAAAATATGTTTATATTACATCCTCTGTATTTCTCACAAATGCAGTATAAAGTACCCTAATTAGACATACAGCAATTCAGAGAGAGATAGCGTGTGCACACAAATATATAAAACTTTAGTTTTATTTAGTTTTGGTTGTTTTTTTTAACCTATAATCTCTCTCCAGTTTTCAACATCGAAGTCTCACATATGCGTAAATGTGTGTCTGTTTGTACATTTAGTGCCTATATACAGCATACATGCGTGTGTACATGTTCACCCATGTATCATGCCAAATATCATATATCATGAGTAAAATGCAGGTGAATTTACTTATGACAAATCTGGAGCGTGCATTTATTTTAAGAAATTATTGAACAAGTGGAATGTCATATTCCGGAATTTAAAAACTGTATATTTGCTTAAAAAGAACATCGGAAATGCTTGCAGTAGTTTGATGCTGTCATTATTCATGAAATGAAGTACAGAGAGGTTATCTCAAGTAGGTTAATTGTCAAAGGCAATTTTGTAGGTGGGAATCATGCAAAAATGTGGAGTAGAAAGTACACAAGCCATTTATTCTAGTCTATATAATAACTAATTTCATTATAAGTGGTTCATGGTGTCTTGCTAATAGGTATGTTTACTACTTATTATAAGCTACCCACCATGTCAGTGTAGGCTCTGGGAATCCCGTTACTTCTACTTCCAGAGTTACCGGAGAACCTTCCATGACGGTTTTGTTAGATAGAAGCTGGGAGAAGTTAGGCGCCTGTCCAGTTAGGCTGGCCATGCTGTTCTTTTCTGATGGACTTTTAATCTCTTCTCGGGTGGCCATCTGCCTCTGACAGCTTCTGGTGGTGTCTGATTGAAACACGAAACCTGAGAATGCATCAGGCAAAGCATGCAGCCTGTCCTGGGTTTTAGTACAGTTATTCAAGTCATGCAATTGTTCTTGTGTTTCTACCATGCTTTTATGAAGCTCAAGGTGTTGCAAATGTGTTTTGCACACTTCACTCATCATGCTGTATACCGGTTTGGCATTTATAGTGCAGGAAGCAGTGCTGGCTTCAGATATTCCTTGTAAGCTACAAGTCAAAGGAGATACTGCCCTGACTTTTAGGCCAGAATCTGTTGAAGAGGCATAAAACTTCTCAAAGTGATCTGATGGGCTTTCTATTTTATTATCTGTAGCATCAGCATAAGCAGAATTTGTTAAGATACCAGGGACTTCCATCACTTTTTTAATACTAGCAGTTTTCTGCATTTGCAAGCTATAGGAACTGACATGCAAATTATGAGAACTACAACAGCACTGCTCTTCTAGCTCTGTTTCAGAATGTAAGAGGTTGGATTCTGGCGTCTCAGAAAGCGGTGGCAAAGAGATATCATCAGGTGATATACACTCATATTCATCTCCGGAGGGTATTTCTTCTGCCAGGAATTCAGTCTGTAAACTATCCTCTTTGGCCGAAGATGACAGCTCTGTATCCTGTGAAACAAGATCCTCGCCAGCTGGACAGATAATTAGAATATCAGCCAATTTATTCCTGTCCTTAAATTAGGATGGGAAAGAAGAGAAAGGCAAGAAGGAAAAGAAAAACAGAGAATGAGTTATCATTCTATGCATGCACTTTTCATGCAGCAGCTAGCAAAATATTTGAAATATTTCTTCTAATTAAGCTTAACATTCTGAGAAGCAGGAGGAAATATGTGGGAAATCAAAATTCATGAGAAAATTTTGCAGCAGCTAACTGGAATTCAAACTGTTCAGATACTTTTTAGCAGATACTATAACTATATATAAGCACTGATTACAACAGGATCAGTAAAAGAGACAGTCCCTCTTTCTACAAAGGACAAACTGTGGCTTTCCTGTAGGTGCTGTTTATAAGAGCATTTGCAAGGGGAAGGTGGAGGAGGAGGTGGCCTAATTACATCTAAATGAGAAATCATTATGTAGTAATAAGAATATATTATCAGCCAGGTTACTGGACTTTCATTGTTTGAGACAGTAACCAGTCCTGTTCAAGAGTTACAGAATTAAATCAATATCTTCCAAGCATTTTATATTTCCCTCTTTTTATGCCAGCTGTTTCAAGATATTGTTCAAAGATTAACAGAAAACAATGCTAAAATTATTTTTATATTATCTTGGATCTAGAATAGAAAAAAATCCCTCTTACCATATTTCAAAAAGAACTGGATGTGGCATGAGTACATTAATTTTAACTGTAAAGCACCAAAGACATTATCTGATGTATTAATTACTTCTCTGCCTCTTGATTTTTATGTAAATATGTACTTATATATTTAGATCAATTTTATTTGCGCCAGGGCTTTCAGCAAAGGTGTTCATAATGTTTTCTTATGCTATTCTCTCACTGTTAAATTCTATACAAAAATATGTAATCTATAAGCAATGTTTCTATCACCTATAAACTGTTCACTCAAATTAGTTGGGTGATACACTGGATGTCATTGCTTTCCAAACCAGGTATCTTTGGCAGTATCCATCATGAAAGTGCAGTGGCACATGTGTTTCACCTTTCTTTTTGCCTTATTGCTTTAAATACAACCTAATAATCAGTGCACAAAATTAAAAAAACAAAAGTAAGAAGTAGTGCCCTGGTCCTGTAGATATGGTTTAATACAGATATTTTTCCAAGTTAATACAGTTGTTGTTTCAAAGCCATGTGATTCATGCCAGATCCATGAATGAATGACTAGAAGAAAATTGAGATTTTATTGTCTCTATTTACTAAAGAATTTAATTCAGTTGTAAGATGAAGTTCAGTTGTAAGATGAACACATATTAAATGTGTTTTCCACAAGCATCCCCTGATGAACTCTGACCTCCAAAGTATCTTTCAATATGAATATATCATGGACAAACATGAAAAATTATAATTTACTTTCAAATTTGGTGAAATATGTCAATTTTTCCCCTTTCCAATTACTCAGAAAACAATAAATACTGAGTTACTTCTTTCTGCATGTATTCAATTTCTTAATTGGTGTTCTAATTTAAACTATTCATAAGAAATCATTATTTTTAGGTATTAATTCCAATAAACACTCACACAATATATTTTTATAGGGTTTTTTTATAGGGTTTGCAAATTTGACTGTCATCCAGCTCTTTCAACCTTATCAGCATTGTTCTAAATAGTGCTCTCAGACTTAAGCCTGACCAAATTTGCAAGTCTTTCTTAAATGAAGCTTTAATAGGCATTTCAGTAGCAAAATCTGGCTGTTTGGGTTTGACTTACAGTAACAAATATAAGAAACCAAATCTGATTAAGCATTAAGAAATAGAAAAATTCTTTATAGCATTAAATTCTGAGGAGGTATATTTAAAAGCATAGGTTCTGAATAGCCAGTGTCTACTGTCTGAATGAAATCAATGATCCAGCTTCATTCTGTCTATTGAGGAGTCTATGCACAATATACACACAGTGGCATACACATTCGGATAACTACAGGAAAGCCACTACAGCGTAGGAATCTTCCAATGACTAATCTAGGATCTTAGTGCAGGGATATGCTGTCTGAGGAGGCCACAGAATTGAACTAAGTTATTTCAGAAATCGCTGGAAAATTACCCTGGGGAAAATGCCGAGAAAAAGAACGACGGGTGGGCAGTGAGTGAGCAAGCTGTCAGACAGGCTTTGCAGCATGAAGACCTTCAGCCCTGGTATACAACCTGGGATCAAAAAAGCATGAGGATGACTGTGCCATGAGAAGGTCCAGGGCACTTTTAGGTGATATTTTTTTCTGAAGCAAAATAATACTGCAAAACCAATTTGCAGAAGCATAGGCAAAATTAGAGATTGGTGGCCCATTAGACAAGAGGTTGGGTATGGGCCAGGTCATTCCTTGTAAAGGATGGAAATGGAAGACAGAAAAGCTTCAGTGAGATGAACCTGCTACTTCTCCAAGTGAAGGATAGAGTGATAAAAAGGGTGGAGGCATCATAGTTGCCATACTTCACATCTGATATTTGCTGTATAGCATACCCTTGACTTCTCCCCTTGGCAGCTGAGGCACAGTCTGATGAGGACTGACAAAACTGTGGCCTAGTAAAATAGGGCTATGGACATCTGCTGGGACAGGAGACTCTCATGAAGGTGGCTCTTTGGAACAGTCACAAAATTTTCAGTGAAATCTGGGCTCCAAGTCAGTGGTGAAACTCCCATGGACTTGGAACAAAAGTAGGAAATTTTATTAGGCTCAGTTTTAGCTTATCAGCAGATTATAAAATGTTCTGTATTGAACTAAAGGGAATGTTAATAGTTGAATCTCCACAAAAATTCACAATTTAATGTCTTGTAGTATTGGTCTATGTTACCACCTGGCAAAATGGACATTTTAGAGCCCTAGATCGGTTACCAATATATCCTACCTTTCTAAAGACTTAAATATATTACCTCTCTATCCAATTTACCAGAATATTTCATGTAGTATTTACATTTACATCCAGGATCCCAAGGCTTCAAAATCTTCTTTAAACTAACGGAATTAATCTCATAAAACAGAGGTTTGGGTTTGTATTATCTGTATTTCTAATACATTTATTCATTGACAATTTGGAACCTTTCACATTCATTTACTGTAAATCCATGAATAAAACATGCTAGTCTGCTAGGGTTTTTATCATTCTAAATGCATGCCCCAGTCTTTCGATATCTAGTTTTGTTTTGTGCATTATCCTCACCATGTAATCCATACTTCAGAATTTATTTATGATCTCTACTGTTTGGAATGTTGGCAATAGAAATGTAACTTAAGCGTTTTGAGGTGAGGGCAAAGATCAGTAATTCCTAAAAACTGAGTTCTGCTATTTATTTGATGTAAAGCATCATACCAACAGTACAGTAGATTGGAATCATAGAATGGTTAGGGCTGGGGAGGACCTTAAGTTCATCTAGTTCCAACCCACAGTTATCTGTGACATGATGTCATAATGAACTGCTGACAGCTGTGGTTGTGTTCCACCATCTTTTTACCATGACTGCTTTCCTGTTATTCACACTGTTGTAAAGCTGAAGTAACCCTCTGCTTGTTTTGCATTGGATTTTTGTAATAATGTGAATGAAAAAACAATCAAAGCCCACCAATCTATAACAATATCCATCACTTCTGAGAAGCAACAAATTAAGGAGTAAAATTCCATTGAAAGTACACAACAATGTCCTTCGATTTGATTTAAAAATAAAAATAAAAATAAAAAATCAACATGAACAGCAGATACCTGTTTAGTGTTGGTAGGAGACAGAGTATTTTTTCTCTTCTGAGTAATGCTTTCTGAATTAGTAAGCAATTTACCTGATGACATCTGGAAGAAAAACATTTTTAAAAAAACCCACTTTATTTTCCTGATGAAGATCTTAATGATTCAGCAAAGAATCATAATTTCCACTGTTACTTAGTTCAAGTTCTGAGCTTCTCTCATAGCATATTACTTATAAATCAAACACTTCTTTAGCTTGTCTCTAGGGGATTTATGAATACAAGGGCTCTGGGAAAAAAAAACAGCAGTCTCCATTACTTCCTATATTCCCTTAAGTTGCCTTATAATGGAGAGAGCAGAATGTGTCCTCTCTTGAGGAAGGACAAATAGTTAAAAAGAGGACATCTCCATCAATAATACTGTGGCAATACAACCGAAAGAAAAACGGTAAAATAAATATGTGGATTGGGTGGACCAAGACTACACTGATAACACCCATCTTAAGGGATGCTTGAAGACTGAAAACCAAGAAGCTTCCCATCAATACACAAAGCCTTTTAAGAAATAGAATAAAAATAAAAGAAAAAAAAAAAATCTAGTGTTATCTAAGTTGTTGGTTGTTTTTTTTTAAATGAAAAATACTACCTGCTGCTTTTGTTCCTCTGCTTTTTCTTTAATAACAGCCTCACATGCTTCTTGACCATTTCTTTTTTCTTTTTGAAAAGTAACCAACTCCCCAGAAAACTCACTTTTCTGCAATGTGAAAAGAAAATTTGGGAAGTACCAATTGTTAGCTATACAATGTCTTATGCTCTGTACAACAGAGAAGAAAGAATCAGTGAAATGTTATCTAAAGCCTGTCATCAGCTTAGATGTAAATTGCTTATGGCAAAAGTATACAGCAAAACCTGATTCATTCATCCCTGGACAAGCAAAGGCAATATTTTTCAAAGCTGAGGGGATCTTTTCTGAGTCAAGCAAAGTATAGGACACCAAAGACTTCACTGGTTGGTCAAGAATCTCAGAAATATTAATCAATTTGTACCCAACATAAGCAAGGGAAAATAAAATATTAAGAAATTGACACTATTTGGAAAAAAAAAAAAAAGATAAACAACAAATCCAGAAAAAAAACTCAGGATTTCAGAAAAACTGTTATAGGGTGGAAATAAATACTTTTCAGTCTCTAGAATGTTCAAATTCATCTAAAATGTGGAAAGGGGAGAATATCCTCTTAGCATAAAACATAACCAGGCAGAACTTGCATTTGTTCTCATTTTCCTCCCTACTTCAGCCTCCCATCTAGACAGTCCATAACTATTCTGAATGTAATTAACTGTACTTTAGATCAGCTGCTTTACAATTCTTTTTGGTTAATACTTATTTCTAGCTGAAACCTCAAGCACTGCACAACTGGTTACAAAATGCTTACATAACAGAAATCTGGACAACCATACTGTATTTTATCAAGACTTCATGAATCCTTTAAAACTGTCATAGGAGAAATGTACAAAGAATATCACAGTGGCACAGCATAAGGAAAAACAAATGTTTCATAGTCATTTTTGTGTATTTCACATCTTTAGTTGTCCAACCAAAAGTTACTGTCCTAAATGAGTTCTCATAAGAAAGCACTGCATTATTAATTTTCCATTTTATAATTAAACAAGTGAAAAATTCTGTGATCTGATCAATATATTTTTTTCTGAAGAAAAAAAGTATTATTAAATTTTGCACTTGAAAACTCAAAGAGTTGTTTTTGTTCAGCCATGTATAATCAGCAGACTGCACATTTCTCAATAATTTGTGCTTTAAAAATGACAGGAAGTAAAAGTGAATTCATAGTCATGGCCTTCCATACTCATAGCACTTATTAGTGAAGATTATCTGCTGAATGACTTATTCTTCATAAGATACAGACATCAAATATTGAGATATTCTGGAAATGTTCAATAAAAATACCAGTTTTAAAATCTCAGAATGTTACACATTATAAAAAATAACTTTCATTTGAAAAAATTTGCAGAACTCTATATTGCAGAAAATTCTTTTTTTAACATATAGTGTTCCTTCTGACTGATTTTTTTAAAAGAATTATTTAAATTAAAGGTCAATGTAATCAGGAAATAGTTTATGAATGGTTCTGCATGAAAAAAGTGTTCTTCAAAAAACTGTTAAAGAAAGATAACATTACATTTAGCAAAATTAGTCAAATATGACAATTATTTTGAAATTCCACTTCTCTGGAAAAGATCTGTATTATGTTGAGCTTGCAAAAATATCAAAGATTCAAGCCTGACAAAACCTGGGGCTATTTAAATACTACAATAGCATTTAAGTAACACATGCATTGGAGAAGAATTTGGGAAAAAACCTAATTGGCATTTATATTGAAGCTTTTTTTATGGTCACAGTGCAAGGCAAAGTTTTCTTTCCATTCAGCTGATTAGTTTTACAATTCATTTCTGATTTTGACATCTCATACTGCTTTTGAGTGGATAATTTGAGTGTTCAGATTTTATAGTATAATTCCATCAAAGAAAAGTGAAAAAACATTCAACACCAACAAGAGTAGGACATTTAAGCATCTTAACTCTTTCAGCTTCACAGAAGAATTAAGTCATCATCTATTGCTGCATGTGGGATGTATTTCATTTATTACTTTCAGAGTGGGGTTGGAATAGACAGTCTTTATTACAGAAATCCAGCCTGCTCAGCTGTCTTCCATAGTTCTTCCTCAGTTGACACGTTCCTAATTACGCTCAAAGAAGACTATCAGAGATATATATATATATATATATATAAACCTAATTATGTTGGTGTTCTCTTTAACATTTATGTTGAGAAGAGATTCAGAGCAGCCCTGTGGAGAAGGACTTGAGGGTGTTAGTTGATGTGAACCTGAACATGAGCCAGCAGTGTGTGCTCACAGCCCAGAAAGCTAACTGTATCCTGGGCTGCACCAAAAGAAGAATGACCAGCAGGTCGAAGGAGGTGATCCTGCCCCTCTATTCTGTTCTTGTGAGACCTCACTTGGAGTACTTTGTACAGTTCTGGTGTCCTCAACATAAAAAGGACATGGAGCTGGTGGAGCAAGTCCAGAGGAGGGCCACAAGGATGATAAGAGGGCTGGAGCACCTCCTGTATGAAGACAGGCTGAGAAAGTTGGGGCTGTTCAGCCTGGAGAAGAGAAGGCTGCATGGAGACCTCATAACAGCTTCCAGTATCCGAAGGGGGCCTATAAGGATGCTGGGGAGGGACTCTTCATTAGGGACTCTAGTGGTAGGACAAGGGGTAATGGCTTCAGACTTAAAAAGGGGGAGTTTAGATTAGATATAAAGCAGAGGGTCTTTACAGTGAGGGTGGTGAGGCACTGGAATAGGCTGCCCAAGGAAGTTGTGAATGCTTCATCCCTGGCAGTGTTCAAGGCCAGGTTGGACAGAGCCTTGGCCGACATAGTTTAATGTGTGGTGTCCCTGCTCATGGCAGGGGGGTTGGAACTAGATGATCTTAAGGTCCTTTCCAACCCTAACTATTCTATGATTCTATGCTTACATAATTTAAATTAGTTTGGGTTTAGCACAACTTCTTTTTTGGGATGATTTTTCCAACATGGAGCCATGAATCTACATTGTTTGGCATTTTGTAGATATAACAATTACTTATATTAGAGAACAAAAAAACCAAGAAAGATGAGAAAAGGTATTTTCCTAGAATCTCAAAGAAACTGCAACATTTCCCCCTAAAGATTACTTGAAAGTAGTAACAGTTCTGGAAGAAGTCAAGAAAAAGAATCCTAGGATGAATATTTAGAGCACAAACAAATAGCATTTCATCAATTCATTATGATCACTACATAAGGTAATGGAAAAGCAAATAATTAAGAAATGCTTCATACTACATACTTTTAACTTCAGTTAAAAGCACTGTTTCAGACAATAAGACTGATATAGTTGATGCAGATGCAACACATTCTCCAGATTAAAAAGATATATACCTTAATCTCCTTAAGTTCCCTCAGAGACTTACACAACTCATCAATAGAATTAATGATTTCTTTGTACTTTAATATGGCTTTTTCAACATACTTCTTTCCTTCTTCAATACCTACAAAGGTAAAAAAAACCATGGAAGTAGAACAGAATGCCTCAAACAATTGTGTAACAATTTACTTTGTAACCCAAATATACTCCAATAATTACATTTTTCTGTGTTTTGTTTTGCTGGAGGAGTTCTGTGATTTGCAACCCTACCTCTTACTAGCTCATTTGACGTGGGCCTTCATAGTCACTGCAGGTCTTCTGCTAGGCTTCTCCTTGAAGGAAATTACTTCTGTCTGGTTAGCGGTATTGCTTTAAAAGATACTGACCTTGTAAAGTGTCTCCTAAACTAGCTGCCTTATTATACAGCTAGGAGACACTTAGATCCCTGTTACATGAAATACAAAACAAAGGCAGGGTGGAAAAGGTTTTTCCCATGTAATGATTCGAAAAAACACAAAGCGTGTTCTTTCTCCCAGTGTTCCTAATCAACTGATGTCAAGAACCTTTTCTGTCAGCTCCTTTCCCACAGATACAAATGTTTAAAATATTTAAAAGTTTCAAAAGTTAAAAAAATAAAAAAGGAGGGGTGGGGAGGAAGAGGGGGGAAAAAAAGTGATCTGTGGTTTCTAAATAGTTTCTAAATTAGAGGAATTTAAAAGCACAGTCTGACTCTGTTGGTACACGGTATATCCTTGCTTGGATGGTCACCTTATCTTTGGGTAAAATAACTTCAACAAGTATGTAAACATTACAAGTGGGAGGAAAACCAAACAAAACCAGAATTTTGTTGACCTTCATTCATTGGTCAATAATGTTCCAAATAAATACAATTGCAAATACAGTATTTGTAACAATCTACATTTTTTGCAAATAAAATGCTTAAGAAAGTTGGCAAATACTACTAGTTATTCATAGTGTTAATGTAAAAAATTCACTCAACACTAAGGTATATCACTGTAATATATTTTGGCTTCAAAGGCTTGCCTGTTATGAGATATCATAAGCCATGAAGTCTTAATTCCAGGCTCATAAATATTACAAGGACAGTCACATTTGATTTCAAAGTGAACTCAGGCTCTATAGAGAAAACCAAGCAATTATCAGAATGTTGAGTACTTTCATATTTTGTATTTTTTAAATATTTTTTTCTGAAATCCTTCACCTCTTCCAGTCAATACTTGAACAGTTTATTTTTAAACTTCATAAGATCTTGTTCTTAAATGAACAAATCTAGGAATCTGCTTAATCCTGTCCTAAGTTACTGCATTTTTCCCTGCAGTACATTACCAGACAGCTCCTCACCATATAACCGTTTAGCAAGGTCTGTAATATGCTGAATTTTTTCTTCCTGTTGAGGCACTGTAGGCTCAATAAACTTATTGAATTGCTTGTAGAGAGTCTCTATTGCTTCTCTTGTTTCACACTCTGCAGAATACTTGCCAACTCTAATGACTGTTGCACTCACATCTTCAAACCAAAATTGACACTGAAGGATAAAAACACTGCATTATAATAAACTATCAGCAGTACAAGCTTCTGTAGAATAGACAGGACTAATCTTAGACTTTCCATAATCAGTGGCATACAGTATGTCTTAAATTTTCCAATTTTAATTTAATCTGAAAAACATTTGTTCAGTACCAATGCTGCTTCAAATATTAACAGCTATTAAATTTTCTTTAAACACTATATCTATGCTCACCTTGTTAGCATGCTGAAGTTATTAGTTAATGTTTCTGCAAACGTATATTTTATTTCTGGGTTCTTTCCACCTTGTATATTAACTGATTAATTTAACAAACTTTGTATCATGGCCACACAAATATAGCTCTAAGGGCAGCGAGGTTGCTTAGATTTACTCTACTAGCAAACAAGGCTTTTGGTCTCAGCAACCATTAAAGTTGCTAGCAATCTTTCTACTGACAAGAATGGGCTTTAGAACAACATCCTTAATAAATGTTTTTGGTTAAGAATACTTAGAGGATAGAATCTGGTGTTCACTCAGTGTCATCTGTATTGTGTCATTACAGCAAGCAGCTAATAAGGACCCTTCTAAACAGCCATTAAAATCAGTGTTGTAGACTGTGCCTATTCCTGAAAGAAAAACTCTTGAGTAAAAGGTGATACTTTACACAGTGTAAAGAAAGCAATCTTAAATTTTAGCTCTAGCAAATAATTTATTTCCCTCAAAGTATGAGAGTTTAAAAATGTATATGCACAACAAATTGTAACAAATTGTTTTGCTAACAATATATGACCCATTGATCAGATTGCCAGACAATTAGCGCATCTTTTAAACAAAACCTTAGTATTGTGATCTATCATTAAGGGAATTTATTTGTCATGTAATTAGAACACTTTGGAGATATGAACACTGTTATTTCTAAAAATAAAAGACAGGAATGTTCTTGTGTCACAGCAAATGCACCAACAGAATGTGGCAGAAGGGAAATTACTGTTACAAATGCTTTTTTTCTTTTCTTAAAAACAAAAAAAAAAATGCATGAGGCAGTCTTCAGACACATTAAGGTTACAGAAGTCTCCAAAAAGACTTAGACTGCTGTTCTGAAAAAAATGCTTACAAGTCTGTTAAAAAAATTTTTTACATTTCAGTTCCAGAATTACACATCACACAGCTCTTCCTGACAACAAAGTGAGGATTGTGATAACCTGGGTTTTGTGGTGTGACAGCTATCAAAGAGGGTCTACAGCACTTTCTATGTTGCCTCAGAATACACTTAGAGAAAATTAACCCATAAGTATGATCATAGATACTAGATCATTTTGAAAGGCATATGGAGGTTGAGACCCCAGTAGTATGCATAATAATGCAAGAATGTGGTCACATTGCATGGGGTTTCCCCCTTTTCTCTACAAAGTTACAAAGTAAAAATAGGAAAAAAAAATACCAATCTACTTTTGAAAGTCACAGATTTTGCCTGAAGTAGTTATAAGTACTTTTATCTATCTCAATCCTGGGTATTACAGCCATACTAGGGAGAAGTTCTTTACTGTGAGGGTGGTGAGGCACTGGAATGGGTTGTCCAAGGAAGCTGTGAATGCTCCATCCATGGTGGCGTTCAAGGCCAGGCTGCACAGAGCCTTGGGTGGCATGGTTTAGTGAGAGGTGTCCCTGCCCATGGCAGGGGGGTTGGAACTAGATGAGCTTAAGGTCTTTTCCAACCCTAACTATTCTATGACTCTCAGATCTACTAGTACCTCTTCCATCATCTGTTGCAGATGCTCCATGAGATCCAGGTTTTGCTTGTAATCCTCCACAACTTTAGTAAAGTCATTCAGCTGTTTTTGTAGGTCACTGATTGACCCCAAGAGGACTCTAACTTTAGCATTAGGTTCATTAGCTACAGAGCCAATTACTTTCTTCTCTAAATTTTCCATCTTCTTTTTAAGAATCTGTTTAAAAGATACAGCAATGTTAAATATGGCAACAAAAATATTTCTGTTTTTAGAAATAATTAGTAAAAAACATGGAAAACACCACACAAACATTTCTGGTCCTGTGTTTTAAAATTTACAAGTACAAATTGCTTTTTCAATAATCAAAGGAAACTGGAAGGCCTCTTCAATGCTGATTAAAATCAATGTAAATTATATTTATTAAAGGCAGAATTGGGTTACATTTTTCAGCTTAAAACCAAACAAAGATCTGTAGTAAAAATAAATTGGGATCCTAAACAAAATAACTTTATTTGAATCTGGAAATTAAAAAATACTGCTAAGCCTTTGGAGTTTTTGATTACATATGAGTCAATTTAAACATGTCCTAGAATATTAACATATTGCTTAAGAATCTGATGTAGTTGACCCTGCTCTGAGGAAGGAATTTTAACCAGATATCTCCAGAGATTCCATCCAACCACAATGATTCTGTGATTTGAATTTGTAAGAATTTAAACAACAACAACAACAAAAAAAAAAAGACTCATAGAAGCTACTGAAATTTTCAAGTAAAAAAGTTGTGATGGAGGAGACTGGTAGAGTGGCAGAGCAGGTAAACAGAACTCGCTAGTTTTGATTGGCAATTAAAAAGGCCATTGGAGGCTTTGAGAGAAGAGTTTTGAGTGAATTTAAAGAATGGTTGAGGCTAGTAGGGATCTAAGGTGCAAATAAGCATGACCAACTCAAGGCAACGCATGCAGAAAAAGGTTCTGAAGATGTATGAGGAAATGAGAAAGACAAGGAAGTAGCTGGATGCAAAAGGGGATATGTGTGTGCATTTATTGTTAATTTTGATGGGCTATTTGTTTTATTTTGGTTTTGTTTGTTTGCTTGTTTTGGGGGTGGTGGTTTGTTTTTTTTTTCGGTTTTGGTCTTTGTTTTTTTTTAAGGAGAGGGAATACGAAGTCACACGCTGTGAAGGAACAGAGGCAAGAGAATAAAATTAAATAGAAAAATAATGGGCAACAAAAAGAGTGAACACAGGGAAGTCAGGAATTGAGATAAGATCATTTCACTGAAGGAAATGGAAAAATAAAAGGAACAGAAAATGCAAAATGTATCAGTCAGTGACTGAGATGCGAAGGATATAAAGCTGAATAAAAGGGAAGCTCACAATACATTTTGCATCTCCTCTGATCTGCTTGGCACAGACCACAGCAATTCAATCAGTGAAACCTCCAATAAAACAAAAGCTTCTAACATTACCTGTATTTTATCTGCATATATCTCAACTTGCTGAATCTGTATTTTAAGTACTTTCAGATTTCGAGCTTTTTCAGCTTTCTTTGTATAGTTGAACTTCAAATTGTTGAATTTCTTTTTGAGATCCTTAAATGATTCTCTGAGCTGAAACACAATAAGTATATTTGTTAGTAAAAGAGACTCCAGAACACTTCTATTCAGGTTTTATTAACAACTGTTTAGCAGACCACAATCTGACCACTGAAAATGTAGTACTGAAATTAATAATACTATGCCATCTCATAAAGCATCCTCATTTCATTTCTCCAAGTATGGTAGCACAGAGATTCTCCCTAACAGATACCCAAAGAAAGCCTCATCTAATTAAAGCTAGATAGATTTGGTAGCACATAACAGTATTATTGCCAGTTAGCACTGACTTGGTGCAGCAAGCTCAACATTAGGGAAAATTATTTTTATAATAATATAAACTAGGATGAACTAGTAGCATCATTGTCTTTCAAGATTTTTCAGAAGGGCTTATATCAGCTGAGATTACTACTATTAGTTATATTAAACTTGCTATAAAACTATCTTGTTATTTAGATGGATTGTGGCTACATTTTCTTTAATCTATGAAATATTTTTAAGATTGAAACTGATAGGAATGACACTGATGAAGATCTGGGAAGCTACACTTTAATTTACACACATATGAATCAGATGCATTACCAATTTACCAGTACGAATTTAATACACTTCAAAAAGAAGAGTACTATATGATCAACATAATTTTAAAAACAGTGTTTATTTACCAAAGGAACTAGTTTTAATATAGGGGTTTGGGTTTTTTTCAACATCATTTATCTGTTTGTTTTAATATCCTTTTACACGATTGCCATTAATAAACCATATGTCATTCTTTGCATTATATGAATAAGCAGATCAAACATACTCAGCTAAATTATCTTTAAAGAACTCTGGATTAAGTATAATTTTTTTTCAGTATTTTCTCTCTGAAAGCTATGTAATTTTCGATTTTATTTACAACTGCAAAAAATCCTTTTAGATGTTACGATTACTTTTGAATGCCTTTAAACATAGAATACAAGAAGTAGACAAGAAAAAAACTGCATAAAATATGTTTTGGGTATCTTATAAAAGGCACTATTTTAATTATATTGCAATTCCATGATCCCATTTTCAAATTATTTATAAAAATACATTATGTAAAATGGTATAATCTAAATGAACTGATATAAAAGAAATGCAGCAGTTCTAATGCTGTTCCTCCAGACACACAAATGAAAAGATTTTATTTGATTAGTGTTAACAAGTTCAGGTCACATCCACAATTTGATATTTAGTTTACATATTTCAGGCTTTTTTTTTTTTATATTAAAAAGCCCTACAGACTTCCCCCTGCCCTCCTTGTCCTCCCTGCCAGAGAATCCATGGAGTAATGAGTGCTCATTTTGCAGCTAGTTATTGGAACAGCTAGCAATTAAACATTATTATTATTACATACTAATGTTAATCCATCAAGGGATATATTTTTCATTTTCATTTCATCTAGTGGGATGTTGCTACATTACTGCAGAATAGACAAATGGTGTTCACTCAGTGTAATAGAAAAGATGGGAATTCTATCACTGGCACTGCGATATCCAATTAGTTTAAGCTCTTTATCCCACCTAAGTACACAGAATAATAAAATCTATCTAAATCCCCTCTGTTAATAAAACAAACTGCAGAACAATGTTTTGTATTCAGAACACAAAAGCCTTATTTGTTGGTTTAATTTTGATGAAAAGAAGCAATGAACTAGAGTTTATTTTAGCTTATTTCACTGGCTTATGCGCATACATAGGTTAATGACCATTTATAAGGCCAAAGGCTCTCCTCCTAGCAGTATGTGAAATTAGATCACCTTGTTTCAGATGTGATGTCTCATGTGTCAAAGGTCTGCAGCTGCTGTCACTTATCTCTCTTAGCCTCAGTGGAAAAACCAGATTCAGCTCAGACTTGTACATTACCCCCTCAGAGCGCACGTACACAACTCCTGTTATCACCAGCAATTGTACCAAGGATGATATAGGGCTGCCAGTTTTTAGAAATCTAAATGTAACTCAGTTTCCCATTATTTTCCACAAAATTAAATGAGAAATACTGAAGGAACTATCAACCTTAATACACTGCAGTGACTTCAGCCCACAAGTTTAGTGGAACTTTGTAACTTGTCTATTGTGTCATAGTCATAAATCAGGCAGCTGTTCCTAACTATAGTTGGCCTGTCATAGGTAGAGAATGAGAGTAGAGGAGAGGGGTTTAGGTGCCAATTGCTCTGATTTATCACACAACTACAAAATAAATGGAAAAAGTAAGTTATAAAGCTGCTTTAAACATTTAAATTTTTTTAACAGTACAGTTCCAGTAAAACACTTTGAATTCTTGTGCAAGCCACTCCAGGAGGCACTTCAGTGTTGTTAGCCACTTACCTTTCTCTATTTCTACACAAAACTTTTAGTAGCACTAATAATCAAAACAGTCCATGAAAGCAGGTTGTTGTAAATAGGTTTTTAAAGTGGCAGAGATTAAAGAACAGCCAGCCAGAAAGTGGGAAGAAAGAAAAGGCACTGTTCAAGTAATTAATGATTACGTTAATTCTGGGACTGCAAGCAAAATAAATTACAAGGTGAGAAATGTGCTATCAGTTCCTACTGACAACATGTGAACAGAGGTAGCTTATTACCCTCTTTGGTTAAAATCCACATTTTGAATCATACCTTTCCATAAACATATAAACAATGACATGATGAAGAGGAAAGAAGTGAGATGACTGAAGACAGCTGAGAACCTAGTTCAGGATGTTACTCTTCTGTCGCAAGTTTTGTGCAGACATGCATAAATGTTATTTTCAAAGTGATCACCTAAAGAAAAAGCTGTTTTGTTGCAAAAGTTATCTTATTTATTACTTATAATCCCATGAACAGATTCAGTGTAGTATAAAGCTATGGTTATCTGAGGCTTGACTCATGTCTGTCACAAATGGTTGCAGTGTAATGCAGTGGAGTTGCGGCCCTTCGGAAGCTGCTGCTTAAGCTACTTATTAAAGCAGAAAGCCCAAACTGGCATATACAGATCCCAAAGGTCATATGAGCTTTCCC